CTTAGTTGAAAAACTGCTGCAGAGAACCAGAAGTATTGAAAGACATAGCTGCTTGACAAATGGGGATTTTCAAGATTACTCACTAGGCATCCACTGTTAACTGCTGACAGGATTGGCAGTGCTAATGCAGACATTAAGAAAAAAAACAAAAGGCTGACTTGCAAAGGTCATTATTAGCATATCATCAAAGGCTGTGTTTCTGACTATCCTTGTGACTGCAGTAGAACAGATTTAATCCCTCTAAAAGCAAGCTAAACCAATTATGTCAGAAGGTCTGTCTTATGTCAATTAGATGCAAAACAAAAATGGCTGCCGCAGATTAGACAGCTCATAAATAGAAGAACATACCAAGAGATACTAAAGGCAATCTTTGCAAAAACATAATGAGATACAATCTAACCTTAATATCAGCACAGCAATACCATCCCATATGTAGGGTAAGGAGTTGCAATGTAGTATTGCAATGTAGTATGGCTGGGGTGTAGCATAACTCTCACACAGTCAACTGACACATAATTCTTAATGGAAATATTGTCAAATAGACTATCATTTCAGCTCCCGTCTTTCTACTTTCCAACACTAGCCCTCTCATTTGAGACCTACCAAGATTTAAAAGTGTTCCAGTCCTTCTGGTTTCCCATTACAGTATCTAATTGCCAGAATTTATTGCTAGTTATGCACGAACAACCCAAAGATTTTGGGTCAGGAAAAAAATGTGTAAAAAATAAAGAAGTACAAAACAACTTTTCAGAGGTAGTCTGGCAGAATCCTCAGTGGTATGCTATGCAGTAAAATGTTTTTCTTGTCTTTCACTGAAGGCCCTTTATTTTACTTCAGTATTAGCATTAGATAAGAATATAAAGTTGGAAATGCACAACCATTCCCTTCATCTATTTTTACAGTCCTTTCAAGGTGCTAAACATTTACCACCTTGCTAAATAACTGCAGTTCTGACAAGTTTGTTTGTCTCTTGGCAATTTCTTCTCAGCAGACTTTTGCAGAAAAGTTTTTGCAATAAAGGGTCTTATGAGACAATGATTAACTCCAAATCATATTTTGAAAACATTTTAAGGGGTGTGAATGGCCATAAAAGCCCCTAGCTCCTTTCCCTAAAGCACAAAAGACTCCAAAGCAACACAGCATTATGGGGAGAAAGCTCATCTCCTTAGTATAACATAGAAGAACCAGAAAGAGGTTTCACACCTGCATTTAACAAGCCATAGCTGTTAAGCACATATGCAAAGTGTATTGCCATGTGTTACCATAGTAACATGCATAAGCATACAATTCTAAGAGGGAAAAGTGGTCACTTTTATGCTAATGTGGTATGGTGAAGTAGAAAGGGAGTCACTCTGGTAATATGAAGTGACATATGTGTCAACTTTTGTAGTGGGGGCTACTGTGTAGAGAAAAGAAGAGCAGCTGGACCAACAAATGCTTTACAACAACACAAACGTTTCACCTGGACACTTGAGATGGCATATTGTTAAGGACAGCCAATTTGGTGTCAATGGAGAAATGTTGATACTCTCAGGCCCAGTTTATTGTATAAACGGCAAGGGAACCTTTACCACTTTACCCTTTCTAACTTTCAGGATAAAGTGGTAAAGGTTTCCTTGCAAAGGACCACTTCAGCCTGCAGGTGGAACATCACATATCAAAATGCTTCCCCACTAGAAAATTCCTTGTACATGGAAAATAGCGTCTGGGTTAAGAAGAATAGGCTGAACGCTTCACCACAATATGATAGTTTTCTGTGTGCAAGGAAGTTTTAAAATACTGTTGAACCTTACATATATTTACACATGACCCACAATTTTCTCATTCTCTTGAAAAGTTCACTGAAATTACACAATGCTATCTTATATTTATCTAGTTCCCTAAAGCCTTTGGTCACTGAATAGATGCTTTCAAATGTGCATCATCTGTATTATATGATTGCAGCTAAGCTACCTAATGCGAAGCGAGACAGTCCATCAAAATTCACATTGCAAGGAGGCTGACAGTGATATGAAAGACAGAGAGATGCATATGCCGCACCTCGGTTTTAGCTTCAAAACTGTAAAATGAAATTCTTTCCGAGACACACTCCATCACAATGTTGATTCACTAAGACGTCTGAGAACTGCCTTAGCAACAGGGCTTCCCATCCAAGAAGCTCTGATTCAAGAATCCCATTTGTCTTCCACTGCTCTTACCAATGTCATATAAATGTCACAACAATCCATTTTGCCTGGGTCAAAAGTTCCAAACAAGTACCAGAAAAAGGTTGTTCACATGCGCCACAATCCCTCTAATAAACATGTACAGCCATGAACAATAAAAATCCAGTGCAGAACACCTTAGATCAAATCCAACAATGAACACACATTTGTCATGGAAAGAAAGCTATTTGATTTTCACAATGTTAAACCATGAAACAGTAACAGTTGGCTTGTACCATCAGTTAATTTGATTAATGTGCAGAGCAGAGAGTAGTTTCATTTATGTTTATGTTTACTCTGATAAGAGAACAAAGGTATGTCTATTCAGCTTACAAATTAATGACACAGACAAAAATGGTTTAAGAACACACACACAGTTAAAGACTTTTCACAAATCACATTTTGTCTCACTTTAAGTGGGCTCCTGCCAGATTAATTACCGTATTTTTCGCTCTATAACACGCACCTGACCATAACACGCACATCGTTTTTAGAGGAGGAAAACAAGGAAAAAAACATTCTGAATGAAACAGTGGATGTATCATTTTTGTGCTTCATGCTGTGGCCACAGACATGTGATCTGATGGTGAATTTGGGGTGACCCAATGCAAAGATCCTGAGGATCCATGTGGATCCATGCTTTTTAACCACGTGTTTGCACCATTGCAGCCCCAGGCAACAGTGGGTGCGTGATTTTTTTGGTGCAGGCTGTAGCCATGGACATGCTATGTGATCTGATGGTGAATTTGGGGTGACCCAATGCAAAGATCCTGAGGATCCATGTGGATCCATGCTTTTTAACCACGTTTTTGCACCATTGCAGCCCCAGGCAACAGTGGGTGCGTGATTTTTTTGGTGCAGGCTGTAGCCATGGACATGCTATGTGATCTGATGGTGAATTTGGGGTGACCCAATGCAAAGATCCTGAGGATCCATGTTGATCTATGCTTTGTAACCACATTTTAAGTGGGGAGCGAAGGAAAAACCAAGAAGGGACATGAGAGGGGTGTGCAGAGAAGCAGCTGGCTAAGAATGCTGGAGAGGGATTTAACGGGTGGGAGGCAAAAGTTCCCCCCCAAGCCAGCCATCTCTCTCTCTCTCTCTCTCTCTCTCTCTCTCTCTCTCCCTCTCCCTCTCCCTCTCCCTCCCCCCCCCTCTCTCCCTCTCCCCCAGCAGTACCGGAGCACAGAGACGACACTTTCCCCTCTGCTTGCCTGGAGGGGAGGGGCTTTCCCTGCTCTTTGTTCCGTTTCAGCAATCACAGCAACGAAACAGAGGAGGGTGGGCAGTAAGACCCTGAGGCAGAATACAGGAAAGCTGCCACTTCCTCTTTTCAGGTTTCCCTTCTCCGTGAAGAGCGATTTGACTTTTGCTTGATTTTTTGGCTCCAGGGACCACACATTCGCTCCATAACACGCACAGACATTTCCCCTTCCTTTTTAGGAGAAAAAATCTGCGTGTTATAGAGGGGGAAATACGGTAGGTACATGGAATCATCTCCCATCTTATTCCAAAGCATGCCTACTGGAAAGCAGGAACAACTGGGTTAAACAGGAAATATTTCCTAGTACGTAGACTTAATATTGTAGCCAAAATACCAGTGAATTAATGGAATGTACTGCAGAATGTTATGCATATTTACTTTGAAGTAAGTATCACTATCTTCAGTGGGACTTCCTCCTAGGTTGGCATGCCTAACACTGCAATTCTGGCCTGCAATTCTAAGCACTGTAATTATATATTTACAGATGACCCTGTAGCAAAACAATAAAATGTTACAGTGTGGAATGCTGCTCCATTTCACCCCAGCCTGTTTTAAATTCTCTTCCTTTTTCTTTCTGCTCTCAAAGCTACCAATCCATGCTGCCTGAGCATGCTCTGCCCTCACGGGCCTGTTTAGAGATTATTTTTTTCCACCGAGGGTGGATGGAGTGGACACATGGCTGCCAACAAGGAGCTCAAGGCAGTATAGATGGTTCACTTCCTTCAACTATATTCTTCCAACAACCCTGTCTTATAGGCTGAGCTGAGAGACAATGAGGCTCAAGGTCATTCTGTGAACTTGATAGCTAAGTAGTGATTTGAACCTTGGGGCTTCCTAATCCCACTCTGATGCTGTAGCCACCATATCACACTTGCTCTCTACTTGAAAGGAAGTACTGAGACCCACTGAATTCAGTGTGAATTTTTATGAGTAAACACACATAGGATTGTGACATAAAGTACAAAGTTAAGCAAATGGAGGTGCATCTGACTCTGCCTGGATTGTGCCCAGTTAATCTAGGGGAGCCCATATCTTGAAGCATGCTTTGCTTTCCAGCTCCCAACATACTGAATTATAATACCGTCACTGTAATGTACTGCTATGCTGTTGTGGCATTACAGTTAAATCAAGCTGTCTCATGCAATAAAATACAAAGTGGGAAATCTGATAAACAGCTTCCCCAAAAGGTCAAAGTTAATGGGTTTTTACTCAGAAGAATAACACTGAGCAAAAAAGATGTTTTCAGCATTAGTTATCTGGCAAACTACAGAAACAATGCACCAAATCAGCCATGCTATTTTAGGAAAAGGACATAGGAGACTCCTAAACCTTCTTTTGCCCTTGGTATAAAATATATCAGACATTGGATAAAAACAAATGAACAGAGCAATCTTACCAAGGACACCTAATTGAACACATAGTTCTCAAGCAAATCATAGTAATATGATTTTTTCCCCCATAGAAAAGAGTGATTTTGTTCTGATTTATATGAGAGAACTATACTGCACAAGTGGTGAAGGTATTTGTCTTACCTCTGTCACTGAAGTCATCCACGAGAATGATTTCTGCTATTAGGCTACTTGGAGTCCTGTTGATAATGCTGTGTATGGTTCGCAAGAGTGAAGTCCAGCCTTCATTATGAAATGGGATGATTATGCTAGTGTTTGGAAGCTTCTCCAAGTATACCTTGTGCTTACAGCTGAGGACAGGAAAGAAAAAAGACCATGTAAGAATATGATAAAGACAGGTTTGGCACCTTTCAAATATCATTTCTTATAAAAGAAATCGGGAGAGCAAATGTTCAAACAATTCAAATGCCTTTTACTGTGGGTATCCTCCAACATCAATCTGTCTGCCTTGGCCATCAATATCGTGGCATACACTTCGTACTGGAAAGCAGATCAAGTCTTTTGATATAATGGACAGATGACATTTTAAGAGAAATTCCCTCTTTTAAAGGAATGCTTTATATTTCACACAGTGAAGAAAAAAACCCCACCGAATTCTATGCATGCTTACTGGAAAGTATGTCCTATTGAGTTCAATAGGGAATCAGAATGTGTGTGAATTAAGAATGACCAAAGTAGTGTCATATTGTGGACCATACTAAAATTGCAGAGTTCCATTTCTCACTGGTTAATTAAATTCCAAAACTGATTGTTGAACAGGCCATATATTTTATTTAGTATCTCTTTACTTTGCATTTTATATCTATTTTAAAATGGCAGATAAACCAGTCCTTTATGTAAGAATAGGATACAAATACCCATGAATAACCAACAAAGGAATGGATTAGTACAGTGATTGCTAGGTTATGGGCAGCTGGGAAGTACTGGCGTCAATATATTTATCTGAAATGATAGATGTGAATATCAGAAATAAGGAACACTGGATTTATGGCTGCATTCTTATTATCAGAATTATTCAACAGGAAGGAAGAGGTTTAGAACACATTTTCCCCCCTGTATTTCATGAATCAAAGCCAACATCTACTGTTTGTCTTCAAATATCTCCTTCAGTTCCTCTTTTAGTTCATTCATATTCAAAAGCATAGAGAGAGCTAATGCAACTCGAGCAATGCAGCTAAACACTCAGGATAATCAGCACCATTAAATGTAAAGTGTAACTGCAAATATGCCTCTGGAGAGAAAAGCTTCTATCAGCAGGCAAGTGCAAGTGAACATTCAAATGGAAATGGAAAGACATAAAGGTATTTCATGAACTTCTTAATTAGACACCAACTGCATTTATATAATGCCAGCTACAAAATTACACACTTAAAAGTTCATCATTTTACAAAAAATAACATACAAAGACTTCAGTAGTGCATCAACTATGGAACTAAGCCATGATCAAAGAGTGGGTATTCATTATTTGTAATGGGCTACAAAATTAATCGCATAAAGGTCAGCTGCTCAAACACTGACATTCAGTAGATTGCTATGGACTGCTGGACAGTTTCTCCTGAAATTTCAAAAGATTTCAGAAGCCCACTCCACAATAATTCAGAGAAGGGTTTTTCGTGTGGCTGCCTCTCTTCTGAGGAATAGCAATTCCTGTTGAGATACAACAGGTACCCGCCATCTGCACTTTCTGAAAGACATTTTTGTCCTGACAGTTTTCCCAGCTGGTTAAGTGGGTCTTTATCACGAATGTCTACACTGTGCACTTTCAGTTCTGTTTTAAATGTATTTTCTGTTTTTGTGTTTTTATCTATTTCCAGTGTACACCACTAATATGAATGAGAATTCAATAGCCGCACAACGACTGATTTACTTTTAATAACCTATGTTAATGTAGAGAATGAAAGAAAATGGTACTCATTCATTGTTTCTGCCTAACTTGCAGCCAGGAAGTTTAGCCGCATCTGATGAGTATCTTGCAGTTAAGCTGCCTCAGCATATCGTGTTCCAAAATGATCAGGCACCAGGAACTTCATGGAAGTACCTGTGGGACAAATTAGACCTGTGTCCAATAGACTCCCACCATTACTCGGTCCCAATACTACTGTCCGGGCCAGTTTTCAATACTACTCTCCAAGCCAATGAAACCAGAATATAATCTCTTTGAAATTTTGGAGGCCTAGTAAGAATTTCAAGGCAACTGGTAGTGTGGTGAAACTGTGCCTTCCATTTGAGCTTTGAAGGAATTCTTCCAATTTCTGTGGGAATCCATGGCCTGATTTAACAAATTCCATGCCACACAAGCAAACTTCTTAAGCACACATTAAATTCTGATACACCCAGCTGTACAACAGTTAATACAATGGGCAGGATTAAATACAGTGGAACCTTGGGTTGCGAACGTGTTCCCTGCAGGAGGAACGTTTGCAACCCGCACCGTCCGCAACCCACAGCGCCATGTCTGCACACGTGTGGGTCATGATTCGGCGCTTCTGTGCATGCGCAAAGCACGATTTAGCGTTTCTGCACATGCACGAGCACCAAAACCTGGACATAACCCATTCCGGTACTTCCAGGTTCGGCGTGGTGCGCAACCCAAAATTGCATAACCTGAAGCGTCTGTAACCCGAGGTACCACTGTAGTGTATTCGAAGACTAAATCTAGGGACTACATTTCCCAGCAGCCCCTTCTGTGAACTGATTCTGACTTGGATAAAGAAAAAAAGTTAAAAGGAAGGGAAAGCAGAAAAACTGGGTTGATACTTACTAGTCAGTCAAAAACAAAGGTAGTCAAACCCTGAAACTATTGCTACATAAACTGACTGTCTTTGAAATACCTTGAAAAAAGAAGGGTTTGAACCTAGGGAGGCTCATGGTTGAACTGACAACCACAGAAAGATTATTAAATAGTTGACAATACATTTTGAATCCAGTTTTTATGAGCCACAGCATGGGTGCACACCTTCCTGTTTAATCAACTTTATCAAAGCATCTGTTGTTAGATCGCTAGAATCCGCAAGCACAAAGGTTAGGGTTAGGCTGCTAACCTTGAGCTTCCCTCAGTGCTTGCTTCCAGTCCCAGCTATACAGGGAAACAACTGGTTTACACTCTCATTGCAACAGCTTGCTAATATGAGAAAGTAGAAGAACAGGAAGGCTTTTCTTTTAACTGTCTGCAAAAAGGTACTAAGCTGATTATCACTAGAAAGCTAGACCATAATTGGTATTAAAAATATCTCATGACATACAGGTCTATCTAATTAAGAATTAAATAATATAAAAAAGAGCATTTAGTAGGGATGAGCAAAGCAAATATTATTAGCAAAGAAGCTTGTGAAAAATTGTTAGTTGTGATCTTTCATTCCATGGAGCATGGCACATCAGACAAAAGGTGTCAGATAACTGGCAGCTCATACATTTTATGAATTTAAGCTGACTTCTCTCTATAGAAAAGGTGTGATATTTATTCTGTGTGAATAAAGAGAAACATTATGCAAATCCAAATATATATTTCGTTTTTCTTTTTCTTTTTTAAAAACCACCTCAGTAATCATGGTAAACCCCACACTAATTAAGGAGATAAAAATAGATAGGATTTTTATTCTGATGATCACTTTTAATATTTATCAACCAAATGCAACATTCTGCAATTAAGAGACAAGTAATGTTAATGTCTAGCTGGATGAGGAATTGTACACAGAGTCCATCATCCAATGGCATGGGGTCTGTTGGATATATTAAACAGCACCAACTTCTGTTTGGGTTGGAAAGCTGGTTTGCATTATTATATTTTTATCCTGCCTTTCCTGCAAGGAGCTCTGGACAGGGTACATGGTTCTCCTACTTTACCCTCACAATGATCTTGTGAAGATCAGGCTAAGAAATAGTGATGGACCCAAGGACTACCTGGTCGAGTAGGGATGTGAATCCAGGCATATCCCAATCGTAGTCTAACACATTAACCACTATACTGCACTGGTTTAGTCCACATTGCTCTTACCTGTCTCACCAGGTTCACAATATTTAACCAAAACAGATCTAGCAACTCAGTGTGGAAAGGTTTGCAATGAAGTCCAAATGTAACAAAAGCACAAAAATACAGTACTCCTGCTGGCTCACACCAAAAGACCACCTAGTCTACATGTTGCTTCTCACAGTGGCCAAAGAAGATGCCTCCAGGAAGACCACAAGCAAGGCATTACAGCAATAGCTCTTTGTTGTTCTTTGTTGTTCCCCAAGCAGTTGGCACTCATGGTCATATTGTTTCTTCTGAACTTCGATGTGTTGCATACAGCCACAATGACTAGCGGTCATGGATAAATGGATTCTCAATGAATTCCTCTAATCCCCTTATAAAGCCATTTAAGCTAGTGACCATCACCAATTCTTGTCGCCAATTCAAGGCTTAGTTTCTCACATGGTGCATAGTTTGTTCTGAATCTCTTGATAAAGCGGTATCATTAGATTATCCCAAGTTATAGTATTTTTTGGGTGGGGACTCTATCCCCGTTCTCCATGCTGTGCATAACTTTATAAACCTCTTATTCACACACCCTTTCCCTACTGTCTTTTTTCCACCTCAACTAAAACAATGGACATTATTCTGTGCCCCTATCATCTGCCCTCACCCTGATTTCTGTGTGCCAGCACATGCAAACCAAAATCTTTTCACTTGCTACTATTTTTCCTTCTTTAGGTAACGGGAGAAAACCATGCAGACATTGGGGAAGGTGTGGCTAAGTTCAGGAGTCAGCAATATTATGAACAATGCTACCTGAACAAACGCAGGGATTGCTTAGCGAGGTCAAAATTTTGTAGATAAAATCATGTTAGCTAGTAAGCCTTAGGGCTGGGCAATATCAGCTTTTCAACATTGTGGTATATGTGGTATATCACCAGCCAAACATCGTGGTCTGGCAATGTACCATGATACTGAAAAAACAAGCTGCATTAGCCTCAGCCTGCAAGGCACCAGGTGAAATTGCCACAGCTGGTTTGTATGACTCAGCTGGGGAGTAGGAGGGCTCCCGATCCGCAGCTGAGCCGGCCGTGGTGCTCCCCCTGCTCGTGGACAAGTAGGGAGAGCATCGGGGCTTCTTTGTGTGGCTGTCCTGGGGATCAGGAGGGCTTCTGATCCCCAGCAGAACCAACCCAGGTGCTCCCCTCCTTGTGGTTGAGCGGAATGGGGCGTGAGCATCGGGGCTCCTTTGCTGTGCTCTGCTGGGGATCAGGAGCCCTCCCCACCCCCTTGTGCAGGAGCCAGCACCGGGCTGGAAGATCCTTTAACTGCTCAGCA